CACTGCATCCAAGGCATCATCCTACAATTAAAGGAAAAGCCCACAGAAAATCAAACCCACTTGTCAGGCTGCCCTGGTGAAACCTGGTGAAAGGAGCAACAGCCCCATATGATACAAAAGCCATTTCCTGATTTGGTATTTCTCTGGCTCAGGAATCCTAAATACCTGGCAAGCATCACAACTACAATTCCCAAGAGAAGTGCAGAGCCCAACATGACAAGTTATGAAGCTGGACAAAAAAAATCACAGAAGACAAAATATAACACTTTATTAAAAATTAGTGTTCCATTTCCATTTGATGCACTGATAAAAGAGAAAACACTTTAATCAATAGCTAATATGTTTACTGCATTAACTATTTTATCCATAAGGCTGGCCCTTAAACATAAAACAAAGCCTGATGCTATAAAGAAAAGTTTGATCATAGAATGTCAGTTGAAACAAGACCAGCAATCATATTTGCTATCCTCTGAGAAGAAAATATTATACAAAGTCCTTTAGCACTATTGAACAAATTAAGCTCCAACATCCCTCTGAGGTAGGAGGGGCTCTTACCACCATTTTGTACAGACAGGAGAAGCCAGGGGCAGAGAAATGGCCTAGCTGTATGTCACCCAGTCCATGGCAAAGCTGGGACTCGTGCCCACTCATCTCTTCATAAAACCTCTGCCCTCCTAACAGAACAGACAGTGTGAAATTTGGCTGTAAAGACTCAACACCAAGGATTGTCAGAGGATATAACTCCTGGAGCTCGACAGGCACTGGCGGGGCAGCCACGCTCAGCTGAGGTGTACTCCATCAGCACTTCCTCCAGTGCCTTGTGTCTGAAATCCAAGCAGCCTCCAGGAGATCCCCCAAAGCCCCAGCAGGCACAGCCCAGCCCAAGCAGGACAGCAGCAGCCCCTCCAGTGCCCTCCCAGCCTGGGCCAGTTCTGTTACATCTTAACCAAGAAGTGCAAGAGATAAAAAGTCAGCGGAATGGAACGTCAGGATGGGATAAATGCCTCTTGTTCCAGAACCTAAATGTCAAGGTGAAGGTTAAACATTTAGTTTTGTCTCAGCATTTACCAAGCAGCTGGAGGCTGCTACCCTGCAGAACTCTCTCTTGACATTACTGCCCAATTAACACCGACACTGACAAGCTGTTTAACATCAGACATTCAGCAGGCTCCCAGGCTCCTCTGCAGAGGGACTGAGGCTGCTCTGCAGTACGTGGGGACCCCGTGAGGAAACACACCAGTTATCCCAGTCCCTGTGCAGAGATGCCAGTTAACATTTTCCATTCCTTCTCTCAGCCTGCTCGTGCAACATTTGAATGAGCAAAGGTTCACAAACTCCAGAGTGAAGATGACAGTATGGTTTCAAAAAGAGCTCCAGCAGCTAATGAATGCTGGCTGATGAGGTGAGAATTCACACACTACAACTGAGGCAGAAAGGCATTTCTTCCTCCTAAAGGCTGCCAGGAACTCCCAGGCACACCAGTGAACTCCTCCATGGGGATGGTCTGTGTAGGAAGCCTTAACACATCCCTGAACTTGCAGACAAAACGCAGATAATTAGAAGTGTCTATAGTCTTAATAGAGATCATAATCTGTGACGTTTGAAGCCAGCACAGACTCTCAGCACAGCTGCTGGCTCACTACAAACATGTGAGTGCTGCAGGTCAAAGCTGTGTTACCCTTTGCAGTGCTGCTTTCTCTCCACGATACCAGGTTATAAAAATGTACTCTAGAATGTTCTTGTCAAAACAATTTATAGCCTTTAATTAAGTAAAGGATGCTTAAGATGAGAATACAAAGCATGTGTTACATCAAAACTACAGTATTTGGAATCATCAGAACCTGGTGGTACTGAGGCTGTATAAATCAACGTGCCATGATTTCAGCAGAAAGGACATTCAATTAACATCCTGTCCTGGAGCAGGTCCAGGTAAGCAGGACTCAAAGAGAAAATACAGTGTTCTGTCACTTGTGTCAGGAGTTCCTGATGTTCTCCCTTTTCCACCTGCCCACCAGTGGAGGGAACCACAGAACTGCTGGTCAGGCCTGCCCACAGCTGTGCAACAGGGGTCTCAGCCACCTTCTGGAAACCTTAGCAGGACAAAGAACACCACGACCACAGACAGGACTCCAGTGTTTGTGTAACTAGGCTATTACTGTGAGTAAAGCTGACAGACTGACCCAGCATTCCGCCCACAGTGGCCAAGGACCATCTAACAGCCTTCCAGTTCAAGTCTTATCTTGACCTAAAAGCAGATGTTTTGTGATCAGCACTGTGGGTAAAGAACAGAGAACGAATGGGGATGGGACAAGATGAACTCAGAAGGACATCTGTACATACTTGAAAACATTCATCACTGCTTACAGTTCTTACTGGTATTCCACACATGCCAAGAAGTTATTTTGCTCTTTTTAAAAGATTCTCACAACCCAGATGGTTCTCAAAATAGTTTGTTTCCAAGACTAATTTAATCTAAATTCCAATCAGAAATTAATACTACTTGTTGGCTATGGGAGACAGGGAAAAGTAAACCAACTAACCAAAACACAAGCTTTTCTCCAGTTCCTGTAGCACAGTAACTCTCAACAGGAATCCTGGGAGTCCAGAATCCAACCAGGGAACAAAAGTCTCTGGCCTGGCACACCTCTGGGTCTGACACTCATCCTCTATTTCACACACTCCATCCCATGCCTGTACTCCTCAGAGAAAACAAATGCAAACATGACATTTTTCTGCTTCTAACTTTGTAAAGCTACCAGCATCACTTAATCTGTGAACATTCACTGATAGTAACAAGAAACAAATAATATAAATCATTTGCCAAGAAGTGGAAGTGCCACATATGAATTTTAAATGGCAGCCTTGTCTGTTACAAGGTGAGAAAAAGTACAGGAGAATAAGCTGAAGCTGTTAAGTACAGCACAAAGGCCCTAGAACCACAGGCTCTGCTGGTAGCTTCAAAGCACCCACCACAGTGGAGTTTTAATAGTATAAGTGGAGGGAAAAAGACTAAAAAAACCAAAACAAAAACACCAACCCAAAACAAAACAGTCCACGTCACACTCTAGCAAATTAAAGTAAAAAACCACAAAAGTCTTTGTCAAAACTAATCTCAGCAGCTGTATTTTCACTGGCACAATAGAGAAACCAGCTGGAAAACAACTTACAGAAAGCAATATAAAAAGAGAAGAGATTAGAGTTTTGAAGAGGCCTTTCACAAAAAGGCAGGTGCATTACTGTGGCAATGCTGCTTCCTGAATGTGAAGAGAATTAAGTGGGTGCCTGCCACACGTGGAGGCCTGGCTAGGCAATAGAAGCCTGGAAGTTTGCAGCCATTAGTGTTCTCTTACCAAGCCTCAACAATTTCATTTTCAAAAGCCTGAACAAGTGGAAATGGTTTTTTTGTTCCCTCCTCTGCTTCTGCTGCTACCAAACCATCTACCACCTTAATTCTATATATGACTGCACTATATTAATTTGGTATTATTCTCTTGTCAGGCCTTTACAGTAATTTGCTTTAAAACTTACAGGTAGATTTGGCACTGGTCAAAGCAGTTCCAGACTAACCACCATGGACTATGGAGCTCCCACGTTCAGGTTCAACATGGGGACACAAGTGCAGCTGTGGGACACGCTCTGCTGCTCTCACCAATCTGTAGCTGCCCAGGAACAGCCATCAGGAAGTAACTGTTTATGCCAGTGACAAAATTTGAAACTGCAACAGACAGTGGAAACAAACAAGCAAACATTCAACAATGCAGTAACAACTTTTCACACCAAACCTGACACTGTTTCCAGAGACCAAATTTTCAGAGCAGCCTTGCCTCCAGCCTGCTGAAAGGTCCTCTACAATTAGCACCCAGGCAAGCACTCAGAATAAAAGTGATTATTTCAGTTTAAAATTCGGTATAAACCACCCCTCTCCTGTGTCCAAAGCCTCTTGCAGTTTCATGACAGAACAAGGCTTTTATGACTATTCTTCTCCTTCCACTTCAACTTCTATGCTCTAGAAGGGACTCAGAACACAAAACTGGAGTTCACCCTTCAGCACGTGAACATCACCCAGCTTTATAAAACATTGTTTAGTCTGTACTTCCCCAATCACTGCAATTCTCCCCCTGCTGCCTGAGAAATGTAACATCAAATAGCACTTTTGGGTCACTAGAGGAAACTGATGTAAAAGCCATTCCCCAGGTTGCCATTGTTTATCCAAACAGGATTAGGCACAAGCCTCAACAATGGCAACCCTGTCACCATCTCCTCCCCTGGCGATCTGACTGGAGGAAGTTTTCCCTCACCACACTCTTTTCTCCATCTCCCAAGACAAGTCATTACATATATAAATTTTCAAAGTTTTCTCATCTTGATGACTTGAGTCTTTGGATGTCTTGACTCTTACCTCTCTGGAAGCACTTGCCTTAGAGTTACTGGGTTTTAGAGACAGCTGTCTTGGAACACAGACTTTTGTGTGCACGCTGGGGGCAAGAGGTGGGAGAAATCACTTGTGCAGTGTACCTGACTGCTGGAGAGCTAACCCATTCTTCTGAAGGTCACCTGATGTAGTCTTTGCTAAGAGGAGTCACATTCAAGTTCTCTCCAACTCCTCTTCAGTATCTTGGTTTAAAAACTGGAAGTTCCATTAAGCAGTCCCCTAAAAGGGCAGGTATGTGGGAAAAGCTTTTCAAATCATGCACCTCATTTGGGGAAAGCAGTACTTCTCATGGGAAGTAAGGAAACTGGCACGGCCTTGGATATGCAAGAGCAACCCCAAACTGCCAGAACTGGGGTTCTGAATGCCACTCCTGAGGGGGCACGACAAGGGGGCAGGACAAGGGGCCAGTCTGCAGTTAGAGCACGTGGTGCAAATGAACATCTTGTTCCCAAAGCCCTCGGCCTTTAGTGTTGCTTTGTGTGCACAAACGCCCTTTGGCTTCTCTAGGGGGCCAAGAAGCCAAAGGAAGATCAGTCCAGAGCCCAGCTAACCCCTCAGAAACACCAGCACTAGCCTTGGCACCCAGCCCCTCTCCTGGGGCACTAGTGCCCGAGCTGCCGGTCGTCGTAGGTGCTGTATCTCTTGACGTGGATGCGGCGCACGCGGTCCCGGAGCTCAAACCCCTCCTCATCCTCACTGTGCGCCGCCTGGCTGCGGCTGCGGCTCGTCGCCTCCAGCAGGGAGTTGTCAGGAACCCGGGGAGTTTCGTACAGTAAGACATTCAGTGTTTCCTCATAAATTCGTGCTTCAGGAAATTCAACCTGCAAGAAACAGCACGGGCCCTGTCCTGGAGCTGGAGGGACTGCAGGACTGGGACATGGGCCCCGAAGGCCAGAGACCTGAGCCACAAACCCACATACACAACCACTGCAAGTGAGGAATGGCAAGTGAGAAGGAGGAGCAAGGGAGTCTAATTCCTAGCAGAGGATTACTCCCAATGCCAGCTTGCCTACTTCACCTCCTCCTCTAGATTGTTCTAGAATGGGATACAGCACTTCTGATTCTCCAGGGGTTGGACTCTGCTCACCTTACTCACACCTCTGCAAGTCAGAGGTTAACTCCTGGAGTTAGGGAAACTGGAGATTTATCATGCTAATCATGATTGTGTTTTCATGCATTTAACTCACCCCTTCAGGACGTATAGTGCTTGAATGCAAGTTTTTTGCAAATTGTAAGATCAGAAGTGGGAAAACTGAGAAGAATGACTGAAAACAGAGGAAATCTTGAACCATCAGGCATCTGCACTTCTGCTGGACTTTTTTTCTAACAGATATTCTATAGTTTTGCACATAAAAGCACAATGATGATAAAAGCAAAATGTTTTGAAACAGCTTTTGAGCTCAAGTTTACCTTTCATTGATTTCAACCCATCCATTTCAGTTATTTAGGTTGGCACAGATTAGTTTCAGTATCCTCCTTTTTGGCATATTTTTTTGCCTGCACTCTGCAGAAATTTATACTCCCAGACACAACCACTTAGTCCAATTACACACAATGATTACAGCAGTACCAGCAGAACACAATACAAAGTAACTGCGATGGAGTAAACTTATGCAGGAATAATCAGGAACAGAATTAGATCTTTACTTCATTTAATCAGAGAATTTAAAGGCATTTACCTGCTTCATGGACACAAAGTCCATCAGCTTTAAGAAACCACTGCTGAAGTGCACGTGCTTTCAGAACTGCCATTCTCGGCATTTTTTTCCTCAAACCTGCTGCCCTCTTCAGCCCCCTCTGAATCCCATCTGGTATGCAGCAGCCTTCACCAAGGCTCAGCTCACCCTGGGGCCCCCTAAGCAGCCGGGCATCCTAGTACCTTTCATCTCACTGAGCAGCAATTCCAGTCAAAATCCAGGACACTTGGTATCAAAGCTTCTCCAGTAAGTGGTATTACATGCCCGAAGCAGCCTTGCTTCAGTCACACAAAATGTGAACCTTTCTGCAAGGCATCATTAACCTGATCTTGTTAAACCATAAGACACATGAGTAAAACTCCATTACCTTGGTTTGCTTCTTCTCTGTAGCATAAACTATAGAGGTACAACAGACTTCAGCCAGTTTCCGACCCTGTCCGTAGAAAGACCAGCAGCAGATTTCATCTCCTATAACATCTTTAATGAAAAGAACTCTGCCGTTGAATCGGAGGGAGAGTTTGTCAAACAGTTCTATGTTCTTCAGCAAGTTGTCATCCGAGTTACTGAAACACAGCAACAAGAAGGAACATGGTTTTGCAGGTTTGCAGCTGGCCATTGCTGCACAATTTCTATGCCAACATGGTTTTAGGCATTGATCTGACTGCAGAATACAAATAAGGAGTGACTCATTGCCACACGCTGCCAAGAAAAGGGAGGATAATAGCCAATTTCAGATACAAATAAGATGCTCTGATCCCCATGAGCAAACACTCCAGCCTTTAGAGGTCAAGTTATATAATTAATAACGACAGCATAATTTCCCAAATCATTACATCAACTCTCTACAACTACCTCTTGACTGACGCTCAAGACAATTAAATCATCTGCTAACTGCAGCTCTCTTCAGCTCCGTAACAGCAAAATCCAAAGACTCAATGCACATTAGAAGAGCAGATGAAAAGCAAAGTGTTGTGTTCTGCTTTTCAGCAAGACACGACACCCTACTTCTGCCTGCAGCACCTGAAGGTTTGCAGGTGGCCCAGGAAGGCCACGGGGACCAGGACACTGCTGGCAGGAACCGCCGGCCGGGCCCCACGGAAGGTATTTACCCCAAGGAGTACTGTCCAGATCTGAACCAAAGAATAATGACCTGCAACCTCACAAAACCTTCAGCTCACAAGAATCATTTGATAAAGCAATCTAAGATTCTGACAGTGACTGGTCCCAGCCTCAATCAAGTGTTAGAGCTGGGAAAAGAATGCGGAAGTCTTCATCCATTTATGTTCTCAGGGCACACCCACAACATAACTGAGAGAGCTGCTTTTGTACCCTTGATTAGGCAGAAGAAAAAAAAAATCTTTGCTTGCTAGCAGCCATTGTGGAATTTTAAATGAAGATGCCTCATTTAAACACCACTGAGGCATGCAGATCCATGCACAAGGAATAATTAGAGCCCTACAGCTAGTTGAGATACCAGCACCTCCTGGTATCCAGGACTCTGCTGCTCTCATTACCAGCACATTTACATTTCCAGACCCAGAGTGATGAACACACCACTCTGTGCCTGCTTCAGCATTGCTGCTGCAAGCTAAAGGGCTGCACAGGGAGGAGCCCAACACCACTGGCAGATAGGGAATGCAGTCTGCTGAAAGACAGGCTGTGCTTCAGCTCTCCCACAGGCCCCAATTCCTGACCACCTGAAATACCACGACTGTCAGAACCCACCTCCCTGACAGACAATCAGTGTGCTTAGAGAAAAAAATCTTCCAAGACTGTACCTCAGGCTGAAAAGGCCAAAAATGAGGATTTTGCACAGCACAAAGGGTTACTCACATTGCTGCACTGACAGGTTTGGGAAAATCCAAAGCCACTCTGATAGCATCACAACAAAGGGACCATGGCAGTTACAGCATAAAACTAAACAATGTTACTTGACATAGAAGGAAAGCCACTAAATTCTTGCCCTGGCCCTAACTGGGTTGTTCCTGTGCAGAACAGATACTTTCCTTCCTTACCAAATAATTCACTTAGAGGCACTGGAACATGAAGAACATCTGTAGGTCAGAGCAGGAGAGAGCTGGCAGAGGCACACGCAGACTCAAAAGGAAACCTCACCTGCCCAGGGAGGGATCACCCTACGCTGCTTCAGCTCCACACTGCTGAGCTCACCTGCTGCTTACCAGCTCATGGGCACTACCCACGTTCCATCTAGCTTTGGCCAACAGGAATGGCCTCATTGTTCCTCTCTCTCATCCCTTGTTTCTGCTCACCTTTCTCACACAACTGAACTGTACACTAGACGTCAGCAGACACAATTTGTTGTGTTCTCATTTAGATTCACATCCATCAAAAATAACTACACTCAAATCCATGGAATAGTACTGTTGAAAGAAAAAAAAAACACCTAAACCAACCAAAAAAATACCCCACGTTATGTGGTACCATATCCTCCTCCACTCCCAGAGCCAAAGGGAAACTTTCCCATTATGGTGTGGAAAAAAAATGACATACCTGGTGTAGGAGTATTTGTTGTTGCTTCTGTTGTACAGCAGCTTAACAACAGGCTATTGGGAGAGGAAAAAAAAGCAGAAAAGGTAAGTTCTGTGTTAGGATACATTTAGCAGAAGTTCCATTTCTGCCTGGGTAGTTGTGCAAAAGCAGTTACTTTCATTGATGACTCTATCAGTCTCTCTTCCTCCTTTGGAGATGTGATGATAGGGATGCTGCAGACAGGTTCATACAGGTCTTTCTTGTCCTGTTTTAGAGAAAGAAGAGAGAGAGGAAATAAGCTCCAGAGCTGAACACTAAGGCTGACAGCTGCTGCTGCTGTTGCCTCCTCCAGCCCCTCCAGCCCCCTTCCCAAATCCTGTGATGCAAAGGCAAAGCTCTGTGTTGCTATAGCAGCCAGGGAGCGTTCCCTCCAGCTGCCAGGCAGAGCAGTCCTCATGCAGGAAACTCAGGGGGGCTCAGCAGCTCCCAGGGAAGCCCGAGAACATTTTGTTTTTAGAAGAAAGGTTTTAAATTCCAAACCAGAAAGAGAACAGCGTGGCTTTGCACCTCCTTCAGTGGATATGAGAAGTATGTGGAACCTGGCATGTGAGGCATCTACTCATTACTAAGCTTTGCCCTGCAAGGGACATTCACTCCACAGTCTTAAGCCTAGTAACAAGTTCTATAGACTGTATCTGGGCCAACCCTACCAAACAGGGGGTGGAAGATGATTTCAGCCGGGATGCACGGGCACTGGCAGGGCCAGGAACAGCCCCGGGGCTCACGGGTTGGCAACACTGACACAAAGAAAAGCCCCTGAAGTACTCAGTGCTGCCCTGGGGGTCTTTCTTCTCCATTACGATTCAAAAGCAGAAAAAAGTTACCAAATTTTCAAACATTCAAGCCCATTTTGCCTGTAAATGTTATCTAATTAGAAATGACATGACTTGGGGAAATTTAGACAAATACCATAAGGTCTTTTAAAACATATGCTCAAAATAATCATGTTTATTCAATCAGTTTCCTTTAAATTTCTGGGGTTTATTTAATTTCACACAAGAGGTACTCATTCACTATTTCCTAAATTAAATTAAAAAAAAAAAGAAACAGAAAAGAACCAGTTCCTCTATTTAAATGACAAATAGTGAACACAGCTCCTACTTTATTCATCCTCCCTTTGCTCATGCCTGTGAGGCAGAAAAGAGCTGCTGTGCCCATTCTGAGGGGGCAGCTCTGGAAGGGAAGCACAGAGGGAAAGATTTACCCATCATCACTGCAGACATCTCCCAAACACAGGAGCTTGAACCCACATCTTGCACAACATAGATCCACAGAGCCTAACCAGGGGACAATCATCCTCTGCCCCACCCAGGGGACAATCCTCTACCCTAACCAGGGAACAATCCTCCTCTGCCCCACCCAGGGGACACTCCTCTACCCTAACCAGGGGACAATCTTAATCTTCTTACAGAGAAAGAGCCCCTTTGGCAATGCCACCACCTCACTCCTGGCACTAAATGCCCCCAGAGCACAGGCACCTCTGGCCTGCAGGGCATGGCTCTGAAAGCACTTCCAGGGAGATCACAAGCTAAATTTTGTCCCTTACCCAAAGCACAGCAGACTCTTAGGTGCACACACAGAGCCAGGGTAACTAAGGCTTTGACAAAAGCACTGGATAAGATCTCACAACTACCTGACTACTGCCTCATTTTGTTCCCAGGCTGTCTTGCCCATCTAAGACTTTGTGCCACCTCCAAGGCCATGAAATTCTCTCTCAAGTTCTCTTAAGTCTATTTCAGAAGCAAAACACCCGTGAAAAGCTTTGCAGGCTATTTCTTACCTGCAGGGCTGCTTGGCACATGTCCACTAAGCCCTGAATGAGATAATATTTGGCCTCTGCCATCAACTCTTTGATCTCCTGCCTGTGTTTTGGAAGTGCAATGGTGTCATCTCGCAGGTAGTTTAGGATGGCTCCGAAGTGCTTCCCGCAGCGGTCTATGAGGATCCAGCCTGAAAAACAGGTCACAGCACCTCAGGCACCACAGTGCTTGGGGCCAAGACAAAGCTTAAATAGGCCTCAAGTTTCCTGAAACTGCCCACAAAACTCTTCCCATTTCATTCAGTGGAAGTCCTTCCTGACTCTGAAGGACTGGAGTGCTGGGCAATCAAACTAATCACTAAGAAAGCCAAGGAAAGACCAGAAAAGAGAATTCACAAATCTTTTCAGCAGGCAGATGTGGGGTAAGTTCTGTGGTGTAATGAGATGGATTTGGCAGTTTTCCAACTGCACGTCCTGTTGTGTTCACAGTTAGGGCAAGAAGTGCTCCAAAGAGGTTCAAATTCTACACATGACCTCAGGGTATTAATCTGATGAAACAAAGATGTTCCAGGGTGTTTCAAGATACGGGACCAAAAGCTGTCCTGACTCCAAACAGGAGCAGGGAACAGGACAGAGACAGATTTGGAGGGAGCAGAGAGGGATGCAGCACAGGAAACAGTAACAGACAGTTCTTGCAATTTAAAAATGTCCCAGAAGTCACACTCAGTAGGAAACAGGATGTCTGACTTGTCTGCAAACAATAGTGATGTAGGATGCACGCAGGCAGAGGGCCTAAGGCACTGCCAAACCCTTCCCATAATGGGGAAGGAGAGCAAAAAGAAGTGTTATTCTGGGACCTAGGCACGGGAAACAGCACAGGAAAGCAGCTGAGCCACTTCTGGACTCTCCAGCTGTGGCTGTTGGAACATGAACCTTGTTTTCCACCCAGGCTGTGGCTCTCACACAGAACTGTTGAACAAAATGGACTCGGTTGTGTATAACACTCGACAAGACCCAGCCTACTCACAGGAACTGGGTTTAAATGATAGGCAGGACCCACAGGGAGTTGTTCCAACTTAGGTAAACACACTGACATGCATCCAGCTTAATCTGATGTAGCGTGGGCATGTGGAGGAGCCTCAGGAACGCCATGAGGTTTAGTGCCTGCCAGCCTCTTGGCCTCTCCTCCACAACCTGCACTCCCAAGGTGTCATTCTGCCTCAAAGAGAGGAAAAATAAAGCACTCCTAGCCATTGCTGGCATTGGCCTTCTCACTTGTCCTACTCTCTCTAATTTATTATGGATTTCCATAATGCCAACACCCCGTGTCCAGTGGGAGGTGACGTTTCACTGACAGCTTAATTCTGTCACAGCACCGTAAGCTCCCAGCAGAACATGATGCTGAGAGAAGGATAAAAAAAACTTCCAGCATGGCAAGCAAGGCCAAGTTTTAAAGCTGAAAAACAAACATCCCTCCCCACACACGCATTGGGAATGATGCCACTACCTGCCACCACCTAAATGACAACCCCCACTCTGCCTGTTCAGCCTTTGTGGCACACTGACAGCCTGCACACCAGCACCACGCCTTGCACTGCCTCATCTCAGCAACAAAAGAGCAGGTTCTTACAAAGCAGGGGGGATTGTTAGCACAGTGGGAGCTGGCTGCCTCATGGCCAGGGTTATTTTTGGACTACATCCTGCCCTATGTCCTTAAGTGAGCATAACCTTAGGACACGTACCACGCCCCCTGACAGAACTCGGCAGCAGCCACCCCTCACCTTCCTTGTCGGTGAGCACCTCCATCCTGCCGCTGAACATGGCCTTCAGCATGGTGTCGTGGCGGGTCAGCACCTGCACCGTGGTGTAGTACAGCGAGCCCCCCACGTTCAGCCGCACGTACTTGTTCCCCAGGCCGCCCCCCGGGGGGCTGCAGGGCTTGGGCCTGGGCCCCCCCGCGGGGCAGAGGGCGGCGCCCAGACACGTGTCCCCCGACATCTCCTTCTGGAGGTAGATGACGACCCTGCAGAGCGTGGGCTTGACGGATTCCGCCGTGG